TTAATTATATATCAAATATCTTTGACATAAAATTTCAATTAAAATGTTTCGAATATTCTATAAATATTTTAGGGTTAATATTTGAATAAATTGATGTTATTTTTCCTTTGAAGTTTGGATAAGAGATAATTGCCATGTGTATAAAATTCAAATTATGTATATTTTATTTATTCTATTTTATTGAACATATACCCAATATTTAACCAAAAAGGGGGAAAATTTAATACTTTATAGAGTTAAGTAAAATATTAGTGGAAAATGACATTATGTCAACATATCACCCAGGCAAAATATGAATTAAGTACTGTAGTAATGTATTTTATCAAGAAAATGATTGTGATAATTTATATACATATACCCTAACAATTACCTGGTCTTACTCGAGTGCATTTTATGCTGAATTTATAGTCATAAAATAAAATTATTCACTTTAAATAATATTCAAGGTATGCATTTTTTTTATTTTAACATCAGGGATATATAATATAAATATATTCATTGATTATGATGCATTAGCGCGCCATCTGTTATGAAAATTCGAAACTATTATAGACGCGTATGATTCTTTTCAAAAATAAACAAAAAATATTGCCCTTACTACAATAAAAAAATAATGGGAGGGCCTGGCTCATTAGTGGTGAACCCTCCCGGTGGTTTCAAATGAACAACCACTAATGAGCCAGGCTCTGCCATTAATTTTTCCATTGTAGTAAGGTCAGTAGAAATAATTTATTTGAAATCGCTGGGAGGGTTCACCACTGATGAGCCAGGGTATGCCATTAATTTTTCCATTGTGGTGAGGGCAGTAGAAATAATTTATTTGAAACCTCTTGGAGGGTTCACCACTGATGAGCCAGGCTATGCCGTTAATTTTACCATTGTAGTAAGGGCAGTAGAAATATTTTTTTTTGAAACCGCTGGGAGGGCTCACCACTGATGAACCAGGCCCTCCCATTAATTTTTCCATTGCAGTATGGGTAGTAGAAATTTTTTATTTTTAAAATTATCATACACGTCTATAATAATTTAGAACATTAATTAGTAATTATTATATATTTTAATGAAAATGTATCATCCGCCACGCCCCAACACGCACGTATTTATTTTTAAATTTGTTTTTCAAACTGAAATAATGTAATATATGTTTTTCTCAATATATAATAAGTATTAAAAATATGTATATAATAATGTGTATATAAAAATTGTATTTATTAATTAAGTTTCAACGTGATAATCCTGTTGAAGAAATGACAAGTCCGAGAGCTTGAAAATAAAAAGTTGCAGAAGAAACTTAACCTTGGAAGCCTCATTTATTTTATTAAAATAAATATAATAATGGGGAATATATTATATAAAATCACGGTCTTCCCCTATCGAAATTCATTAAAACTAACGGCTATCTATTGACTGTTTACGAAACCGAGCGGTCTCGGGTCATTGATAAAGTCATAATACCAGACAATACCCGAATCTGCTAGTTTGCGTAGACGGTCAATACAGGGTACTCAGTGTTAGCTTCTATTTTTTCTAGGGAAACGATTTTTATTTTATATCTATCTCTCCCTTACAAATATTCATCCAAAAGAATATATGAAATTTAGAATATATTATAGATGCGTATGATCCCCCTCAAAATTAATTTGTCCATTGCAGTAAGGACAGTAGAAGGGAATCATGCGCATCTAAAATAGTTTCGAAATTTGATAACAGATGGCGCGCTAATGCATCTTCTTCTTCTTATTCTTTCTTATCTCCACTGAATCATATTAAGGTATCAAGCTTGTAAAGCTAGACACTTTTGATAGTGTCTGCCGGGGAAGAGTAGAGCTCATCAATGGATGAGTCAATACAGTCAATAATGTGTCACCCTAATGCATCATTCTATATAAAGTTACGAGCGTCATGCGTGCGTTATTCATCTCTGTCACCGTTTGCTTTTTTTTTGGAATGGCGCTCTCCTATTGGTTGGCTACGATCACGTGGCTAAGATGGCGCCGCCACTACGCGAGACACTTTGTTTTTGACTTTGCCCCCCCCCCCCCCCACTCGCCTTTTGGTTTTTGTAACTATTGCGTTGGAGCGGGTCGCTCCTTAAATAAATGCATATATTAGTTAATAACTAAATGGAATCCTCTCTTTCTTTTTTCCAGTAAGAGACGCCTACGGAAGCCAACAGTACATAGACAGATAAAGCACATAGGCTATAGTTATTAACTAATATATGCATTTATTAAAGGCGCCAATTTATAATTGTAACAAATAGTATTTGAATCAAAACATTCACACAATCGGGTAAAACACGGGCGTTGCCCGGGTCATTCGGCTAGTAATATATAAACGTCTATGAAAAATATAATATACAAATTATTGAATATACTGTGTAGACCAAACTTCAAACCATCATATGAATAAATTAAATCTATTGAATATATCATGAATTATTCAGAATAAATTTGTAAATATATCTCTTATCAATCAAGAATAAAAAATAGCCATGGAGTTTCTATGTGCATTGAACCATATGATGGGAACTAATTTAAGGAGACTCGATCTTCCAGAGACCCGACTTCTGTTGATTTTCGAAACAAATATAATTTAAAAGGTAGTTTCTTTCATAGTGAAAATAAGATTTTAAAATACTTGAATGCATTCGTATTCCAATTTTAAATACAATAGGCTTTTAAAAACTAATGGAAATTAAATTTAATTCTATTAGCTATTTATTCTATTTTATACATATTATACATAATTGAATTTATCTTATTTTATGCTGAAAGAGGACTGAATTAATTTATATAAATTGTATACTTACCTGTAATTTAATAAAGCTATGCATATAAATATATTTAGATTCTTCAATTATCACACACACATTGATAGTTTTGAACTTTAAAATTTTCAACTCTATAAAAATATAAACTTTGTTATATTTAAGAGAAAGGCGTTTCCTTATCGTGCAACTGAAAGTTGCTGATGTTTTGCGCCATCTATCGGAATAAAAATCAACTATTCATTGATTTATTTATTATTCCAGAATATATTATTGGCCAAATATCCATTCTTGATTGATCAAGAAAGGCTAACCACGTACGCGTTCCCGTTAGCTTTTGATTATTAATAAATAATGTGTATTTGGCAAATTCTTGAATAATTGAATTGAAAATAGTTGATATTTATTCCGATAGATAGCGCAAGCCATCAGCAACTTTAAGTTGTACGATAAGGAGATGTCGTTTTCTTAATGTATGAACCTTATCCCAGTACAAATTCACATTTGTACTTTCTTTTCATACTTATTATATTTGTTTGATATAGATTTGTGTGCCAATTCCTTATGATGGCTTTCATACAATTTCTCTAAAGTTGGAATGTTCCACGACCTGAGACCGGACATTTTGAAAATACATTTCAGAGTGTTATAGATACATAACAAGTTGTGAATTGAAATAAAGAGGTCTTCATATTTTTCAGAGTGGTCTATATACATTATTATTGTTGTTGTATTCATTGTATTCTCTCATTTTATATTTGTAAATAGTATATTATATTGTTGAATCACTATTCTATTATATTTTAGATATGGAGTGGGGGTGTTTACATATATCTTCCATTTATTAATAAAAGGTTATATGATTTTAAAATATCAAAAAGCATACAGGTCTGTTTATTGAATAATATTCATTTATCTAGCTTATTTATCTAGAATTTATCTAATATTCCTTTTGACAGGAGCAACTTGTAGTATAATTTATAGTTAAATTAATTTTCGGTATGTATATATATGTAGTTAACTAGAAGTTATACTACGAGTGGCTCCTGTTTTTATCTTGAAAGCTAAAGAAATTTAAATTGACTCCATTGGAGCCATTTCAACACGTCTTTTACTAGAGACGTAGTCTTTTTGTTCAGAATCAAATATTAACATAGATATTAAAAACAAAAAAGGCATATCATGACCTCGCTCAAATTGGCTTTTTAGATGACAGAGCATCATCTAATGGAACAGAAATCTATTAAACGTCGATTTAACTTATTCCTTGATATTTATCCAACTCATACTTCAATCTTATTTTTTAAAATTATTTTTAACATATATTATGATAAACAACAATATCCTGTGAAAGGGCAGTAATGCTCGAAAGCTCGAAAAAATAATAATAGACCTAAAAAGAAAGCTTTCGCCTTATGATTTCTTGCTTTTTATGATATACACAAATATTCACTCTTGTTTTTCGCCTTTATTAAGAAACTAGCCGAATGACCCGGGCAACGCCCATGTTTTACCCGATTGAATGTTTTGATTCAAATACTATTTATTACAATTATAAATTGGCGCCTTAAATATATGCATATTTTAGTTAATAACTATAGCCTACGTGCTTTATCTGTCTATGTACTGTTGGCTTCCGTAGGCGTCTCTTACTGGGAAAAATGAAAGAGAGTATTCAATTTGGTTATTAACTAATATATGCATTTATTTAAGGAGCAACCCGCTCCAACACAATAGTTACAGAAATGGGGGGGGGGGGGGGGGGGGGGGGGGGGGGGGGGGGGGGCAAAGGTGCGTGATTGTAGCCGACCAATAGGAGGGGCGCCATTCCAAAAAAAAAAAAACAACCGGACTGGAGGCCACGCATGACGCTCGTAACTGTGTATATAGAATATCCCTGAAATAGCGATCAATTTATATTGTGATAGCTCTTTATATTTTCACACAGAATAATCAGTGTTTGTTTACTCGGTAAATCATCATCAATTCAAGTCATTATCGTGATACTGAGTCAGAATTTTATTTTTAAATGGGGTTGTTTATATATCTTCATTTTTTTTGACATCTGGAAATATTTTTGAATACTTTTCTTAAAATTATTTCATGACTACACCCGCTCTGGTATTAAAATATACAAGTATCAGAGTCATCAATCAATTCTTAATCAATTCTGTCATCGATTTGCTTTTTTGAATGGAATAAATACTCCAAATATGGCCATTTCTTATAAGCATCGGTTGTTCAGTGGCGAGAATGTTCACCTGCCACGCCGGCGGCCCGGGTTCGATTTCCGGCCCGATGCATTTTTTTTATACAATTTTTAAAATCATCTATATATTATACAATAATGACAATCCACGGCGCCAATTTATAATTATAACGAATAGTATTTGAATAAAAAGCATTTAATCGGGTTAAACCCGGGCGTTGCCGGGTCATTCGGCTAGTTGTTTAATATACAGCAATAGATCAGCCTACAGTCGAACTAAAACCAGTCGTACAGGAAGTGGTAACAATATATAGGTTAAATCCAAAATATGATTTATTTAAAATTATGTTTCATAGATTCTAATTACTCTGCTAAATCGACCGCCAGAGGTCACGCTTCCCGTATGTAAACCTATTGTTGTTGTTTCCCGATGGCCAGTTCAAACGGTTTGTAATTTTGTTTATTCTCACGCCTCAAGCTTGGCAATAATTTTTATTATATTATGTTTTTTTGTTCTATATTCCATAAGCTTAATTAAAGCTAATTTCTAATTTTCATCATTTTTATAATTATATTTTCAAGATTTTTGCACGACTGCATTACCATAGGCATAATCCTCAAGATAATTAAAATCAACAGAAATATATTTTTCTATTTACAATATATATTATTACTCTTGTAGAAGGGTTATGATACCCGAAAACTTGAGAAATAGTTTAAATAAAGCAAGGATCTTATACACGGAGGCAGTGTGTTGTTACAAATATATATATGTTATATAAAAATATTATTTTATTTAAAATTATATATCACAGATTCAAATTTCTGTTAAATTGACCGCCAGAGGTCATGATTCCCCTATAAAAATTCGTTGTTTTTTTCCCGATGGCCGGCTCAAAACTTTTGTACATTATGTAAATAATATTTTTGTTTTCCTTATTCTACTTGCCTCAAGCCAGGCATTACTTTTACCAAATTATGTCTTTCATACATTCCTTAGCTCAATTAAAACAACCTCTGATCAAAACCATTTTTATTATTATTCCCACGACTGCACCATCATAGCTTAATCCTCAAGATAATCAAAATAATCCAAAATCAGAAGGTAATCTCATTTGGTTATATAACAATATACATATATATATAACACACATATATATATATATAGTGTAAAAACTATATAACAAAATTATAACAGTGATTCCAAATTATATATTATATATATATATATATATATATATATATATATATATATATATATATAAGTAAAATATATTTTCTAACAATTTGAGAAGAGTTGTTAAAATAATCCATAAATTTAAAGATATACTTTGAAAGTTTTCATTGAGGCTATTTAACGGAATTTATTAATTTAATATGCTATAAATTCACTAGGTAATAAAAAAAAATACATAAAACTAGAATGTTCATTTAGAGTTTCAATTTGATATATTTTCTATTTTATTTATATAATAGAAGAATTTGAATATACTCTGAATATTTATTATAATATTAGGTAAATTATATATACATGACATAATAAAAAATATGATTTTTATTATTCATTAATATATTTAAAATTTATACATAAGCATAATATTTATTAAAATTGTTTATAATATAACTAAAATTATAATTTAAATAATCAAAGTAAAAATAAGAACTAAACACAGTATAATTTTTAAAATGTAAAGAAATCCTAAACAAATAGAATATAACCTAATTTGCTTTTTTTTAAATAATAAAAACGTAGTTATTTGTCAATGTATGCAAAAAAAACTGTTTGCTTTTGAAATATAAATAAAAAATATAGTTTAGGACAAAAGTTATTATTCATTTTACCATCCACGACTGCATGAATTGGTAACGTAAATAGAATATACCTTTTTTTTATGACATATATATACCAGAAAAAAAAAGTCGAAATACTTTCACATGTATAGACATAGGATGAACTTACAAAAAAAGCAGTCACCTACTTCTACCCACCATGGTTATCATGACCTGTGCCACGTGTACTAGGGATAAGCAAAAGAAAGAAATACCGAGATACTAATTAAACAAATATGAAAAGGTGAATTTTTGATTAGGATATATTGAAATAGATGTTTTAATATAATGATATATTTGAGAATAGGTTTTCATGAAAGAATTCAGAATAAATAATTTTTGTAAATTTAGCTTTAAAATACCATTTTACAGTATTAGATAATAAAAAGCCATATATTGGATTCGATAAAATATTTATTTGCCAACATTTCGGTTGGCTGAACACCAACCTTTATTAAGGCATTACATATTTACAAGTATACTAATGCCTGATAAAGGTTTGGCGTTCAGCCAACCGAAATATTGGCAAATAAATCTTTTATCAAATCCAATATATGCATTTTTATTATCAAATTATTAAATACGGATTGCTCTATTTTCAAAAATATTCCTGTATATTCACTTCTGATTTGAAAATACTGTCATTTATGGTAAAAGGTAAGGCTTGAAAAAGATATCCAGGTTTTTTTTTTAATAAATCGATATTTTCAATTAATTATAAAGGGTATTCCCCCAAACCTTTTTCTAGAATTTAATTTTTTAAAAGAATTTTAAATTAAAAATTGAGTATTGATTGATTAAATGTTACTAAAACAGATGAAATCTTGTTATCTTCATTGCTTGCGATCTTGTTCAGTTGTCATTTAAAGGACATCTAAATATTTTTAAAAATAATATACAAAATTAATATTTTTTAAATTTCTTTTTTTAATTTTATTCCATTTTCTTTTTAGAAAGGCGAAACTAACGACTTCATATAAAAATAAAAAAATACTCTTTTTTTTTCAGACCTTTTTAAAGAACAAAATTTAATCATGCTGAAAACAAAATTGAAACTTAAAAATTGAGGAAAATAGAAAATTAAATAAATTTTCGTTCATTTATATGTGTTTTATTTCACACTGAACTTATTTTGTGAGTGTGTGCTACGAGCATATAATGTTGAATGAACAATAAACAATAGAAAATACTAAGAAAACAGATTAAAAGTGAAATAGTATTAGTATCAGTTCGATAAATTAGGAATAAAGCATCTATTTGTGGTTCACCTAAGAGTTTATGATGACATCCCCATTCGGAATAAATATCTAAGAATAGATTATAATTATTCCCCTTCACAGATAGTAATTCAAGTCATCAGCATCTTTCAGTTTCACGATCAATAAATACCTTTTTCTTAATAAAAAAATGATTTTTTAATATTCTAAAAGATAAATCGTTAAATTTCATAAATACTATATGGTGGTGGTGTCTTATCCATCCACGGAAAGGCAATATAAACGGGGAGTGTCATTACCCCCGTTAGTCAGTCACATTTCAGAGTTCCCTGTTCACGGTTACCGTAGCGGCTCGGGGCTCACGACACCGTACTTCGCTCTACAGGACAGTCCATTACTTGTGCTGCTTCTCCCGCCCGCCATGTAGAGGACTTCTGGGCAAGATATAAAAAATGGTAAGTTTCGGATTATAAATTTAAAGCCTTTGAAAAAGAGGAATAAACTGATTATCGAAATATATCATTGCATATACCTCAATTATTTTTCGATCCAAGGTTTAAATTTTATTATACCACAAGAATTGACATGTTGAAGAACCTTTAACCCAAAATTCTACCTCTTTTAGAATACAAAAGATACTCTTTGCATACTATTTTTTACTTTTAAAGTTTCACAGTGTTTCACATCTTAATGACTATGTTAATACACGTACCATTTCCATTTGATTTTTCACCATATATATATAATATATATATGGTGAATATATAAATAAATACCTCTTATAAAAATGATACTTCGAAATATAAATTTGAATCTTTAGAAAAAGAGGAATATACTAATTTTCGAAATATCCCATGCAATAAACTTAATTTATTTTTCCATCCAAGATCCACATCTTATTTATTGCAATTTTTTCATGTCGTAGAACCTTTAACTCGAAAATCGACCTCTTTTAGAATACAAAATATACTCTCTTTGAAAGCTATTTCTTTACTTTTAAAACTATTTATTTTAAAGTTTCACAGTGTTTCACATATTTAATGACTATGTTAATACACGTACCATTCCTATTTGTTTTTAACCATAGATATAAATAATCCTCGTTTAATTTTCGATCCAAGATTTACATTTTATTATATTACAAATTTTTCATGTTGAAAAATTTTCAACTCAAAAATCTACCTCTTCCAGAATACAAAAGATACTCTATACATGCTATTTCTTTACTCTTAAGCCTATTTATTTTAAAATTTCCAGTGCATTCACATGCATAATGACTATGTTAATATACCTACCATTTCTATTTGTGGTTTAACCCTTTATTTTAAAATGCTGCAGACCCAGTATCATCAAGTTAATGACGTTCTTCTAAAAAGGCTCAAGCTTGGTGCCATAAATCATTAATCACACCCGGTATTATGAAAAGAAAAGTGGAGAAAAAAGATTTAATGATTGGACAATTAGGCCTAATTAACAGATTACCAGACAGTTTATTTTGTTAAGAGTATTTCACCAACTTTAAATGGTTCTATTAATGAAATAATTCTATTATCACCTCGTATTTTTTTGACTATGATTAATTGAATTTTCTAACCTTGTTGAAACCCGCCTTTCATTTAATATACATAATAGATCTTTTTTAGCCTTATTTTTAAGACCTATCTCTCTTAAAATATATTTTTGTAATATGAAATAAGCTAGTACAACTCATGCAAAACTCAAAATTCAATTATCATCTCTTATTTTTTGCTTATAATTAATTATATTTCTAACCTTGTTGAAACCCGCCTTCATTTAATTTATATAAGGGCATAGGTATGCATAAATTTGCATAGGTCTTTTAATTTTCTATTTAAGACCAATATACATTTCTTTCTTAAAATATATTTTTATCATATAGAATTGTGTATATAAAACTCATACATATATTTAATATATGTAATATATAATATATATATAAATTTAATATATATATCATATAACCTAAAATGCAAATATTTTAATTTTTAAAAACATGTATTTTATTTTCATAATTGACTAATTTTGA